TGGCACTGATGCTTGTGACAGCAGCTACCACAATCACAATCAGTAGTACAGGACTGTCCCCAGGTCCCTTTGGGGCAATCACAAGTGACATCAACAGTTGTTACATCAGCAGCTGTAGCCCCCATGCCACAGGATATGAAAGAGACCTTCTCCAGGACCCTCAGGACAAAGAGAGAGCAGACTTCCTGGGCCTGTGGCACCAGCAGTCATAGTTGTGGGAGTCACAGGATGGGATGGGACCATCCCTGGGTCCTCTGGGATGAGCACATGTAATGCTGGGGTCTGTAGCACCACTGCGAACTCAAGGTGCTGGAACACAAAAGGGAGCCTTTCATAGGTCCTGTGGAGCTATTGTGTGTGGTTCTGAGGCTTTTAGCACTGGTAGCTATTTTTCTGGGGCTCTGGGATCCAGAGCATATCTTCTCTAGGGCCGAAGGACAAGCTCAAGTGATACCAGGCTCTTGGCATCAGCAGCTGTGGTTCTGAATTTATTGGCTGTGAAGGAGGCCTTCGCTAGATCCCCCAGGGCATGTGCAAGTACTGTTCAGGCTTGTGGTAGACACTGTGCCCACACTCCTGCAGGTGTACACAGAGAGGAGACCCCTGCCTAGGTCCTGCAGTTGGATGCAGGTGATGTCGGGCTTGCAGCTGTGGCATCTGTGATCTTGGAGCCAAAAGGTGGGGGGACTGTCCCTAGGTCATGATGGGCAAGCTTTCTCAGAGCTGAGGTGTGTGGCTTTGATTGCATAGTCCCCAAGGCACAGGACACAGATGGAACCTTCCCTGGGTCCTCCAGGAGCAAGCCTGGGTGATGCCAGAGCCCTCTGTACCAGCAGCTACAGTCCCAAGGCTGTGGGCAGGTGAGGAGACCTTCCCTAGTTTTGCTGGGAGAGTGCAGATGTGCTGGGGTTTGGATACTGGTAACTCTTTCTGGAGCTGTAGATGCTGTTGGGACCTTCTCCAGGTTCCAGAGGACAGCTGTGGGTGATGCTGGGCTTTTGGCAGCAGTAGCCATCGTCCCAAGGCTGTGGGATGGTGAGCAGATCTTTCCTAGTTCCCATGGGGTAAGCAGGGGTGGGCTTGGCCTGTGACTATGGCAGCCACTGCTCCTGAAGCTGTCTTCCAGTCTGGGGGTATGTGCACTGACCCAAGGTTCTGGCAGTGTCAGGGGGTCAGCGCAGGCCTCTTATGCAAGATGGCACCTCAAAGTGTCTGCTATAGTAGCTTGGACTCTGGAGATGGGCCTTCTTTGTGAATAGAGCAGTCACTCTCAGACTAGCCAGTTCCACAAGCTGGATTTAAGGCCTGTGGGAAATGTGGACTTCTTGGTCAGGATGCTGTTCTGCTACATGACTAGGTGGCTGAAGCATTCCCTCTTGCCTTTTGCCAGTAGTGTGGAGAATCTACCCCCAAGCCAGGGTTCAAGTTTCCATCTGCTTTACTCTTTTCTCTAGGTCACCTTTCCGGCTTTCCATGCTGGTTAGGGTTCTCAGCCATTCCTTGCTGATTTCCTCTCTCAGTCACTCTCCTCAAAATTCAGCCCTTCCTTCATTGCCCTGGTTCTTCTGTATGTTGGAGTCATGCTAAGGGCACCTCTATTCAGCCTCTTCCACAGTATTCTTTGAAGGTTTCCCCAGATGCACAGTGGCTTACACCTGTAATCCCAGACACGTGGGATGTAGAGACTGGAAGGATTGCTATTAAAGTCCAGCCAGGGCAAAAAGCTAATGAGACCCCAGTCTCAATAAGTTAGGCAGTGATGGTGAGTGCCTGTAATCTCAGTTACATGGGAGGGTGTAGGTAGGAAGATCACGATATGAAGCCAGCCTCAGCCAAAAATATGATGCCCTCTTGAAGAATAACTACAGCAAAAAGGACTGGAGTATGGTTCAGGTGTAAAGCACTTGCCTACCAAGATAAGGCCCTTAGTTCAAACCCCAGAACCACCAAATATATGTATCTATCCATTGCAGTACAAGAGATATTTGTGATTCTTTTTCTCTTTAGGATATGTGTTACTAGGAAGACAGAGTAAAAGTATTGGGTTTAAATTATCTTGAAAGGGAATTCTCTGTGTAGTTAAGCCAATTACAAGTTGATATAAACGTGGATTTATGTGTTTTCATTGATTTTAAGGATTGATTTTTTAAAGTAAATTTGTTTTAAAATTACGTAACATTTATGTGATTTTAAAGTCAACACCGCAATTTGAGAAATATTCAGAAAGATTTAGCTTCCATCCCTCTTTCCTCTCTGCTTCTTTCTCGCCAGACCCAGATGTAACCATTTTCATTAGATACTATTTTATATTTGTTTGCTTTTCTTGATAATAAAAGTGTCTGTGTGTTTTGTTTTTTTTAATAATTTGAAGTTCTTGTTTTAATTAAATTTCCTAATGATTTTAATATTTTTTTCAGTTGTTTTTTGCAATTGTTTGAAGTAAAGAAGGGGTACAAGGGAAAGAGGTGTTGGGGTGAACCTAATCAATGTACAATGTAAGCATACTCAGAAATGTCACAATGAATCACCCCTGTACAACTAATGTATGCTAATAAAGCTATTTTGACAAAAAAAAAGAAAAAACAATAATTGACTAGATCTTTTAAATTTTCTCTGTGTATCTGTCAAGGTCTGGCTCCATCAATTACAGTATTTCCATCCTCCTTTTAGGTGTTGGTATTCGTGATCTTCCCTTCCCTCAGCTACCTGTCTCCTTCTCCCTCAATTTTATAACCTGTATTTTGGAGGAGAGGTAATTCCGCCCTCCAGCATCTTTTCTCCCTCCGTTTTATTAGGATAACTTTGGTAATTACAAACTGTATGTATTTGTGGTACAAAATCAATTGTTTGATAGATATGCGAATATAATCATTATGATATGTTTAAATTAAGCTAATTAATTTATCTGGTTCTTAATGTATGCATCCTTTCAGTCCACCTCTCATACTTAGATCTACTCAGTTAGCACTTCTGTGCCATCCATGTCACAATTTGTAAGCATGTGTTTATGAACACATAACTAAATGTAACTTCTCGTGAGACTTACCAACTGCACATTAAAATAGCGTTCCTAGTTTTCAGACTACTTATACAAATCCTCTTGTTCCTATGACAAACCTTTTAGGTTGGCGTAATAGGGAATGTTATTCCTGTTTTATGCAGGACCCAAGGCTTCTATGTGGCCCAGCTAGGACTGCAGCCCAGGCTGTGTGAAAGCATGGACTGGTAGTTGGGAGAAGCAGCTCTGGAATACGATCCCCACTATTCCATTCTGCTGCTTGCTTGTTATATGACCTTGAGCAAGTTACTCCGCCTCTTCAGGGCTCAGCTGTCTCATCTGTGAACTGCGGATGTTGGCAGCATCTGTCCCAGGGTCGATCACAGGAAAACTGTCATAACATAAAGTTCTTCCAACACCTGGAGAACAGTCAGTGCTTACTGCATGTTGGCTAATACTATTACTTCAGTAGATGCTTTGCTCATGCACCATGATGTTTTACAGTTACCCGTTTTTAATCCTTGTAACTTTCTAAGATTCCCTTTGTCTTAATTGACTTTTTTGTCCTGTGACTCTAACACTAACTTCTCTTTACCACACCCGTGGTCATTGTGATGCTGGCATTCAAACTAGCACATGTCTAGTGCATAGCAAGATTTTAGTTCTTCATTTTTTAAATTTTTCCACCAAGCCTTACATACTATCTCGCCTACCCTGAATCTTGAAAAAGATAGTTACTGGGTAAATTACTTCTACCTGCAGTGAAGGCTTTGTGGCCAATGTAGATTTCACATCCCACTGCAGTATCTGTAGAATTCAGTGGGTGGAGAGACCTAAAGGTGTGATTCTACATGAGTAAAGTCAGTGTAGCTAGGAGGACAGTGTATTCAGACCACACCTATTAAATTTTAAGTGCCTGGACTAGGATGTGGCAGGAAGAATAGAAACCTGAAAACATTTAGAAACTTTGTGTCATATTTGTGATTCTTAACATAGTAAAGTACCTAGCACCTGAAAATTTGGGGTGGACCGACTTCCAGGAATTTTAGGTGATAGTCTAATATGTAAACATACTTATATTTTTAAAAGTAAGGAAACAAAGTTGACTTTGCTTTTTTTTTAACGAAGTAACATAAAATGAAACACCTAGCTTGTCATGGGTTTTGCTAATAAGTGAGAGGTTGTTGTGTTATCTGTCACTAGATGGAGTCAGTGAGCCTAACGCTAGCTTGGACTTTTCTGTACCTCTTCCTATAATTCCTGCTCTGCACCTTTGAAAAGGAGAATAGTACTTAAAAAGAACTAGTGGTTCTGAATGGCGGAATTAGTGGCCTTGCCTTTGAGCAGCAGCATCAGTTTGTAGAACTGCAAAACAGTCTTTTCTTCACATTCCTACTCTCTAAAACTTTTTTGAAAAAGACCTTTCAAACCATAATCTATCAGTTCTAAATGGTAATCAGAGTGTTTTTACTTCACTTTATTATTCAGTATCATTTTAAAAATTAAGTTGTCATCCTGTGTTCCAGGGGTTGAAAACTCAGGAGCCCTGGATTTCAACCACTTTGCAACTCCACCCCATAACCTTGAAACACCAGTAACAACAATTGTGCATTGTTTACTGTGTCTTCCCTTAGCACGGCACGACACATACCAGACCTGCATTTCCAAAACCTTGTATAGTGTGAGGTCTCATCAGAGAAAGGACAGGATAAGCAGTTTTTCTGTATCAAAGTAATCAGAAGGTATGAAGCCAGAAGCTAGTGAGAGATAATAAATGCTGGTAATTATTTCAGCCACAGGCTTCCTTTGCTATGTGTTTTGGGTGGGAGCTGGGCAGTGGACTGAGAGCAGAGAGTAGATGAATAAATGAAGCAGTTATAGAAAGGATCCTGGGAATTTCCCAAGCCCCAAAGAGAATGCACTAACTCACTCGGATAGTCTGTGTACAAGGTGGTTATGTGAACATGAGCTGATCTAATTCCTTTTTTTCTTTCTGCCACAGCACGTGCCCTTATAGTCGGCCTCCCTTTGGCTATGGAAATTTTCCAAATTCAATGCCAGAATGCCTTGGTTATTATGAAGACAGGTATCAAAAACACGAGGCTATGTTTTCAGCTTTAAATAGAGACTATCCTTTTAGAGACTACCCAGATGAGCGCACACACAGTGAAGATTCTCGGAGTTGTGAGAGCATGGATGGGGCCTCTTACTATAACAGCCACAGCCACAGCCACAGTGGGGAAGACTACCTAAACCCCATGCCTCAGCTGGACATTGGGGCCTTGGAGACCGTCTTCACAGCCCCAACATCAACTCCCTCCAGCATCCAGCAAGTCAATGTCACCGACAGCGATGAGGAAGAAGAAGAAAAAGTGCTCAGGAATTTATAATTTTAAAACAAATATGCACAGAAAATAAACATTTCTTAAAATATATTCTGGGTCAGTTGGTGTGAGAAAAAAAAAAAAAGCCTACAATGCTTTGCTAAGAGTTTTCAGCCATGATCTGAGGAGTCAAAACCAAATGCAATTCACATCTTCATAAAGTTTTGATTAGTGAAACTAGAGTCCTGATGTTTCATCGCAGGAATATTTAAGATCTAAACTATTTATTTTTATGGCTGAAATTTGCACCAACATGCATTATCATTACTTTATCTTGGAACATGCAAAATACAGAAGCCTCCCAATTGTATGTGAGGAGAGGGGTGTATATCTGATATGACACGTGTGACTTGCATCTTATCTCAGGACACATTTATTTTTCTTAAATATTTTTGTTTAGTGTTTATATATTTATGGATTTTGTCAGTTTTTATGTAACATTTTGAAAAGATTTTGATAACTTTTGTAAGTGAACTGGGACTCAGTTATTAAATTTAATTTACACTAGTAACCAATTTTAAGTTGCAAATGTGTTTTAGTGGCACCTGGGAAATTCCTTCAGATATATTTAGTCATTTCTGTTACAAAACATTTTTATCATCATTTTTCAATATCTTTCCATTGGTATGCATTGTTGTATTTTTGTTATAATTAAATAAACAGATAAAATTGTTCTTGTTGGATGTTTTCTGTTTGGAGGATAGAAGTCAGCACAATGAGTATTGCTCATTTAATTATTTTTCATACCACTTGATTTTTTCCTAGTAATTGCATGAATCCTATTAGCTTGTGTAAGTCTTAAAATTGTATCAGCTTTCATGTGCACATGTTCTGACACTATTTTGAAACTCTTTATATATGTGTTCATGTGACCTAAGCACTCCCTAAAAGGGAGAGACTCTTCCAGATTTGGTTCAAGCACCTGTCTTGAAAAACCATGGAATTTACTTAAAAGCACATGGGATTCACATAATTCACAATGAGCAAAATCTTACTTGTGATGAAATGTCTTGGCAAGCACTCACTTATGAATCGAGATCTTTTTAAGATAGGAAAAGGACCACCAGAAGTAGGACCAGGGTTAAAGATCTACAAAACACCAAGTGGGTTTATGGGAAACTGCCACAAATCAGTGCACTGTTCCCTCAATGAACTGAATTGTTTATGCAAATCAAGGTCTGATTACTTAGAACTGCTTGGAAGTTGTGTGTGGAGACCTATGCTAAGAGTCTAGAGTCTTCCTTTACTACATCTGCATTTGTTTCTTAAACAAAGGCTGTTGTGTAATTCATTCCATCAACCCCCTACTTATTTTATGTGATATTTCACTCCCAGTAAAATTCTTATTTTCACATTTGATATTCTTTATGACTCAGCACAATGTCATTTGATGTAGTTAAAGGGTAAAACTTGGATTTCTTGGTTGATAAAGGGCAAAACATGGCATTTCATATCTTCATACTGAAGAAACATTTGCTTGTGTACACATTGAATGTCTATTCCATGAAGGAGAAATCTATGCAAGAATTTGACCCATTTCACCCCTCATTTTAATAGCACCTTTGTGACTGAACTAGGTCATCACAGACCTCGCTCTTACAGGCTCATCGGTTGACAGAACCACTGTGCAAAGCAGCAGCTCGTGGTCATAGTTCAGTATTTTCTACCTGTCTGTAGGGTAGCCTTACACCTCTCTTTTCTTAATGACTAAGGCTGGATAACTCTCTTATTTTTTGTTTAAAAAAATTGGGGGTGGGGGAACAGGGTCTTGCTTTGTAGTCCAGGCTGGCTTCCAATTCATGTCCTCCTCCCTCAGCCTTCCAGGTGCTGGGATTATAGCTGTGCACCACCATGCCCTGCCTGGCTAATTATTTTAATCTCCCTCTTCTTCAGTGCTGGAATCAGAAACCAGATTGTTTACAGATCTATCCTATAATTGGGGTTAGGAAATTTGCTTAGCTCTTATTTAGGAAAGTGCCTAATTGCAGATAAGCATGCCTAACTATGAATTCCTATCTACATGCTCATTTGTAGCTCATCAAAACGCTGACTATAGAGATCTACAGACTAAACAGAGCCATGCTCGTTGGCATCTGCCTTTCATCAAAGTGAACATTCTGTAAACTCCAACCCACAAGTACTTTTTAATAGGTCTCATTGCCTTATTTGTTCTATTGTAAGTTGGAGTTCTTGATATGTGTTGTAAGAATCACCTCCAGACTGGACAGAAATGTCAAGTGTGCTTAGAAAGCCACTTGAAGGGTTCTATGTTTTAGACATAACTGCTCTGGCCATTTGCAAATAAAACTAGTTTTACTAAGCAAATAGATTGAAAATAGGTTTGATCCCTATTTTCAAAGAGCCGAGTTATCAAATTTAGAAAGGCAAGAACACTGCTTCTCCATGTGTGTTAATTAGAACCCAAACCTGTAGATATTCTGATGCAATTTGGTAAATTTGGAAAATTCACACCACTCTCCACTTAGGAGAATGTCCGTGTCAATTACAATAATGTCTCCAAAGTCAAGCACAAAGAAACAGGTTGAACTCCATGTTGGTGTTTCCCAAACCTATTCTGCAGGAGGACCTTTTTGTTGTTGTTTTAGCAGTGCCTGCTGACACCTCATAGAACACACCTAGAAAATGATAACACAGTTACAGCTGGTGGCTTTAGTTTTAAAATCATTGACTTCACACATGACTTTCTGCTTTGGTTACCTTAAATCCTTTATTGAAGGAAGGCAGTGACTGAATAAACTACTTTTTGAATGACATATCTAACAGTCTTAACAGATTAAAGAACTGAACCTGATTGTTGTAAGTTGCCACTGGCCATTAAAGTGTCTTTTTTAGTGGAAAACAATAGGTACGTAAGAATTCAAGAGGGCAAGTGTGCTTGCCTCACTGCCAACCCGCTGTTGGTAGGGTTATTGGTGAGTTGATTTCTCAACTTGTAGCTTGAAACAGATTTTGAAGTAAATTTCTGCAGATTCTATGAATTATTTGCAGTATCTTCAAGTGGTATAATTGTGATGTGCACCAAGTAATTCTGAATTTTTTTGTTCTGTGAGTTGAACAGATTCTGCTGAAACATCCTTTTTGAGCTTTCTGAATCTTTTTTTTAGAATTTAAGAGGAATCCCAAAGGCACCACAATAAAACCGTCTAAAAATAATTATAGAAGGAATTATCTTTTATCTAATTCTACTTGATGAAAACAACTTGCATCCTTTGGACATGTCCATTCTTCTTTCTCTCCATTGTGCTGAGTTTAACATACACAAAGTTCAGGAAACTTTTCACTAAGGAATGCTTGTAAGGAAAGGGGGAAAGAATAGGTCGGCTTGCTAGACCCTACTCTCTCTGGTTCTTTCTCTGAAAGTACTTCAGGGAAATGTCTTATTTCTAAAAACAATAACATGCATCGTACACATCTTCCTTTTCAAAGGAAACTTTCAAAAGCTAAGTTTTGTCTGTGTTCCCTGGAACAGTCTGCAGGGCTGATGGACCCCTAGGATGGAATTTTCTTTCTTTAAAACTGTGTGTTAATAGGCAAGGGAAAGGTGTAAGATGGCCACTGATCCTGGCCCAGGTAGGGTATACCCACCAGGACTGCAGGGCAAGGGGGTTCCTGGGCAAGTATCTCTCAGTGCCAAACTTAGGAAATTCCTGGGCAAACTGAGGAGGGATGTCACCCTGATGAATAAACACTGAACCATCCAGGGGGCTGCCTTATGCAATGGTGTTATCTAGATGTAGAGTTTTAAATAGTCATGCCTTACACTACAAGGTAGATTATGGCTAAATTTGTGACAGCTTGTTAGGGAGGCATGGGAAAAGGTACAAGGAAGTGAGGGGACTAGAGAACTGGAGATACGTGACTGTTAATCCCGGGGTGTTTTTATTAGACAGCTTCAAGTCTTGGAACACTAAAAACATGATCGAAGACATACCTTAGTGACATTTCACTTTGCAGCTCAGGGAGAGAGTGCATTTTAACACAGAGTCTTTGTTTTAAATATTAGCCTAGAGTCCTTAGCATCACACAAAGGTGGACTGCTTTGGAACAGATAATGTCCCTTCTCTATTTGTAGGTGTCTCTGAGACATCCCCCACCACAGTGTTTTCAGTGCTGCACTTCCAGACAGGGTCTCACTATGTAGCCCAGGCTGGCCTCGAACTTGTGATCCTCCTGCCTCAATCTCCTGAGTGCTGGGATTACAGGTGTGACCCACCATGCCTGGCTTCATCTTCGTTTAACAGGTGAAAATACTGAAGACTTAAAGAAGTAAAGTAACTAATCCAAGCCACCCAGCAAATGATGGAAGCATTGAGGACTGAACTCAAGTCTGTCTGGCTGTAAACATGGCACTTTCTATCATACCATGTTGCTCTGGCTGATGAACAAGACTGGAGTAAGACTTGCCCCAGTTGGATGAAATTACGCCTTCTTTTGTATTAGACATGGACATCCTAACCAGAGTCGGAGCTAGCTTAGGATGGAAGGAAACACAAAAGGCAGCTGTGATTTCAGGGGCATCAACACATCCCTAATTTCACTGCCAGAGCATAATGGAGGGCCTCCCAACACGTTCCCTCTACTGTGACAACCCCCATTCCAACACCTGTTCTTTTGGGGAATCCTCGGTAACCACAAAGTTCAAGTATGCTGATCACAACAGCACCCCTGACCTACTGACCAGTCCAAAGTGGGTGCACTGGCCAGGAGGCTAGTCAGAGCCTTCACAAGGATGAACTGGTGCTCACTGTGTAGTCCAGGATGGCCTAGAACTCACCATGCCCCTACCTCCTCCTGAGTGCTGGAATTACAGGCGTGTGCCACCATGCCTGGTTCCCAAGGATTTTTCTAATGGATGTGCTGGAGCAAGTTTGCTTTTCTCCTGGAAAATGATTCTAAAAAGAAAGGAGAAGGAGGAAGAGGAGGAGGAGAGGAAGAGGAGGGGAAGAGGAGAAGAAAGAGACGAAAGAAAATGGTCAGCTTAGAGTACGTTCGAAGCACGGCCACGTCCCCTTTGGTTTGGGTAAAACCCATTTTTGGTAGGAGCAAATGATACCAACACAGAAGTAGAGACAGGAAGAGACGGAGAGAATTCTGATGTTGATTCTGTGATTCCATTTGTTAAGGGACTCAACTTTATACCTACACTGGTCCTTGAGCTAGTTAACTGATCTAAGGATTTCTGTTGTGGTGGTGGGATTTTATTTTATGTAAATTAGTGTGGGGAAATAGGGATATATAAAGGAGCCCCTTCCAGTGGAACAAGGAGTCAACCCAGTGGATGCTTTTCCCACTGAGCATCTTTCACCGTTAGTGAGGCTGAAGAGCACAGTGTTTAAAGCATAGTGTTTAAGGACTCCTGGATCCATCACCTCTGGAGCTGTGTGACATTTAGTAAGTAAACTAACTTCTCTGAATTTTAGTCTTTTCTGCACACTGAGAACAATTGTACTTACCCCACAGGATTGCTGTAGAGGGATAGTGGTTATCCAGTGTTGGGCACTTCATAGATACAAACATGTTCGCCAGTGTTACTGACAAAGGTGTGACATGGTGCTTCACTCTTGTGATATCAGCAATCACGGGATCCCCTCCTGTTTGTTTTATGAAGCTTGGGGACACCCAGGTGGAATCCTCCAAGCTGCCTGAAGAAATG